AAAATTAACACGAGTGACTGGCTGCTTTCACAGCAAGAAAGAAAGCAATTTCTCGCCCATGGGGGCAGAGGAAAAAAAACATACCCAAAACAAACTTGATGTTCAACTGTTAAATTGAAAACCTAAGACGCTATTTAGGTCAAAGAACTGATTATTCGGTTTATTTTTAGATCGTGTAACAGCAAAGAACAAATGACGGATCACCTTTGACGTTGTTAAACACAGTTTCAGAGGTTCAGTTATAAGGTATGAGTTCAGCAATATTTCGATGCATACATGATATAGGCATGTCTTTACATTTTGCTTCCAGGAGTCAGACATTTTTAGTAATTTTTAAAATGTTCAAAATGGTCTTAAGTAACAGTAACAGGCTTTCAGGAAGGTTTTCTTTACACTTCTTTAAACTGGCTGCTTTTCCATACATTTTCAGTCCGGTCCTTGTTCATGACCATTTTCAGACGGATGTTGTTTTTTGTGTTGTTTTGTTGGTTTTTTTTGTTAAGCCAATGACCTATGAACCATTCAGGCATAAAAAGCCACCTAACTCAAGAGATGAATCAGTGTTAACCAAATGACAGATGATTAAGAAAAGAAAGAAACAGGGATCTTTGAAATTGATGGCATTGGAGTTTGATCCGCCATGCAGTACCATCTGGATAGCATCTGATAGGCAAAAGTAAAAGCATATCTGGATAGAGAAGCACACAATGGAACACTATCAGCCATGGATTGGCCTCCTCAGAGCCTTTGTGAAGCAGTGTGGGATCTTGGAAAGAACAGAACAAAAGACAACCAACATCCAAACAAGAGCTTTGAATGTCCTTCAAGAAGCCTGGGGAACTATTTCTGAAGCTACTTAAAGAAATTACCAGAAAGCTTCTCTAAGAGAGTTCAGGCTGTGCTGAAGAACAAAGGTGGTCATACCAAGTACTGACTTCCAAGCTCTGTTTTTGCCATATATGCTGTATTTCCATTTATGATTAGCTATGTTTCAATCAATCAATGCACGTCTTTCCCATTTTCCTTGCAAAATATAAAGAATTGAGGGTTGGTTCAAGACTTATGCACATTATTGTATTAGAGGACTCTATTTTCTCATGCCTTTCAGTTATTTTGTGTCTGTGTGTTTGTGTGTGTGTGTGTGTGTGTGTGTGTGTGTGTGTGTGTGTGTGTGTGTGTGTGTGTGTGTGTGGCTATTTTGATGATTCATTTGTGAATGATGCCACTAACACGCCTGCTACAAAATAAATTGCATTCTACCAGAATTAGAAAGCAAAAGAGCTTTCTGTTCTGTCTCTCATAACTCAGTGTTTACATTTGCCAAGAATCCAGATGGTATGAAGAGCCAGAGAGATTAAAGCGGAGAGCAAAATTTGTGAGACACGCAGTATGTCTGACATTATAACCATGTATTTTCAAACTTGCTGCCATCGCTTCCAAGACTCCGAAGCATTTCAGTGACACCAGTGACTATATTCTACTGATACTTGCGTGGAGATTATCAGGGAACCAAACCACGCTTTTCAATTTCACCTGTGCCGTGCAATACTCTGTGGTCAAAGAGCCATCTGATTAATGTGTAAAAAGTATTATCCTTTAAGCATGAGCTATCACAGCAGGTTACTGCAGCGGCAGCCCATGTGCTGTGAAGTCCTGGTGCTCTTATCTGAAGAAGCACCGGTTCTGTAATGATAGCTGTCCCAGACAGGCCAAGGGCAACGAGACATCCGGTGACCTCTGTTGAAACTAGCATCGTTTCAGCTGCCTCGACGAAGATCAAGGTAGTAACTGAACTCTGGTTTACTCTGGTTTTTAAATCACAAGGAATTCTGACCTTTTTTAAATCTGTGTTGCTTTTACTGTTTTGTCTCATATTTATTTTCTTAAACTCTGTCATTCTGACCTATGTTTTATCTTATTTGGTAATTTTAGATGTACAGGACTTTGCTCAACACACCCACAAACACATGATGTACTAATTAGTACTTACTTTGCACACATATAAGCATGCTAACTCAGCAGCTATGTATGCGTTTTTGTTTACACCCCACTGTTGGTCAGTCTTGTTCCTCTAAAAAAGACAGAGCAGTACATTCACACTGCCAGCTGAAACTAAACCATTCATATTTGAGCCATCGCTACTGTCAGGCCAATTTGGCAAACACACACACACACATATTTACCCACATCTGCAGGTGATCTCTGCAGAAAAACAGGCACATCACAGATAAGAGAAGCTAGCAAACTAATTCTCTTTGATTTATTCAGTTAGGATATGCTGTGACTTCTCTGGACAGTTGATAAAAAGACAAATTTCCCTTGGGGGGGAAATATGCTCACACAGGCAGACAGGGCCTAAGAAGACTGTGTTGGCCTCATCTTTCACATGAAATGCGCCTCTCTCTGATATCTTTAAAAGGTAATTCATCAGCGCACCGCTCCCCTGACATTTAGAGCACCCTTGGCTTTGCCCCCTTTATGGAGCAAGACTGCACACCAAGTAGGGAAACAATTATGAGTGGGATTTATGGAGCATCTCTGTGTGAGATCATTCCTCATCTCCTCCCACCTCGATCCTGTGACCCCACCCCTTAACTCCAAGTACACACATTACTCACTGTGATGTACCTGTGATAAACAAACAAACAAAAAAAAAAAACATCTAAAACAATATGTCCCTTATGTTCTATGTTAATCCAACATTACAGAAACAAGTCGTTGCGCCACTGCTGTGCATAGAGAGCAGAAAAATGACCTGCAGTATATCATCAAGCAACACAAGTGGCGCCTTATAAGAAATCCATAATTGTAATGGAGCTAAATCTATTACCCGAGACCCTCTGAAGAGCCATAACCATCAACGCCGTCATGACCATAAGCATTATATATTTCTGTGTTTTAAACAGAGCGACTAAATGTTAGTGAATGGTTCCTGTGTTTTGGAGGCAGGGTTTTGAGTTTCTGGAAATTTGCTCTTCGTTTCATTCATGT